ATATATAGAGTTTAACGGATCCCTTTTAGGATACTAACTAAGTTCCAACTGGTATTTATTACTTTCTTGAAATATTGCTGAAATTTAACATTATGCGTAACCAATGTTTTTTTTTTTTTAATGTACTCATTTAAAGAGATTTTGAATGTTTTTTTTTAAGAGGATGCTGAACCATAAGAAGTATCTGTATTTTAAAATATTATTTTGACCGTACGCATACACACATACTATTTGGGACATGCTATTTCCTAAAGAAATGTTTCCAAAACTGCCTTAAAAGATAGTCTGGAATTGTTCTGTTTAAACCAGGGCTCTCCAACCTTGGCAACTTTAAGTCTGGTGGACTTCAACTCCCAAAATGGCTGGGGAATTCTGGGAGTTGAAGTCTGCCAGACTTAAAGTTACCAAGGTTGGAGAGCCCTGGTTTAAAATATTTCTGATCTCTCCTCACCTTTTTGCATTATCATGACCAATTCAAGTTCACCTAAACTGCATAAATTCTTCTTTTTTCTGCTTCTATTACTTCATGTCACACAGCAACTAACAAGCAAATGCAAAAAAAAATGCTCACGTGATATAACACTGTCCATATACTGAGGTAAATAAGGAGCCCAGGTATCAATGGTTTCCTTCCTGCCCGCCTGTTCAATTCTCCTCAGCTCTGCCAAGAGTAAGGCTTGTGCAGCTTCTCTTACCTGAAAATCCAAACAGAACAGGCATTGGTTCAGTTAAAGCGCTGAAATAATTGTAGGGGAAAAAAGGCGCAACACAGGGAGGCAGCTAAAAAATAAACATTAATAGTAACTAACCAGAGGGAGTATAGTAGCACTTTTCCCGTCCTATAAAGTGTAAGTTTTTATGAGCTGTTCATGTCTTTTAAGGACATTGGTGGGGTGAAAAAGGTGTTAATGGACTCCTGGGTTGTAGTTATTTTTTCTGGTTTGTTTTTTTTTGTAGACAAAGCTCTTCTGCAAATGCAATAGCACCTGGACTTATATACCCCTCCATACTGCTTCACAGCCCACTCTAAGCGGGGCCATGACATTTCGCCATGGCCAACTCACCACAGCCAACTTGCTGCGGCCAATTCTCCATGGGACAATTTGCCACCACGGCCAACTAGACGGGACAACTTACTGCAGAGCAAGAGTTACACTAATCCGAAAGAAATGCTGAAATAAAACCATTAAAGGAACAATGCAAAATTAGGACAGAATGAAATGTGAACGACAAAAATTCAAATATTTTTATTTATTTATTTTAAATAATTAAATTGAATTGTTAAATTCTCCTGCAGCGAGTTGGTCATGGTGAGTTGGTTGCGGTAAGTTGGCTGTGACACGTTATTCCATCTCTAAGAGATTTACAGATTCAACATATTGCCTCAACAATCTGGGTCCTCATTTTACTGACCTCAGAAAGATGGAAGACTGGGAAGACAACTTTGAGCCGGTTAGGATTGAACTGCTGGCAGTCGGCAGAGTTCGCCTGCAATACTGTATTTTAACCACTGCGCCACCAAGGGTCTTACTAACAACTAACCTGAGAGCCAAGCTGTGCTGTATTTGATAAGATATATAAAATTAAAAGATTCTTCATAAAATTGAGCATTGGAGGAATACGACATTTTGCTACTTCCCCGTTACGGTTGAGATGCTGGGGGAAGAACCACATGGACACAAAACATCAATACTTTTTTAAATAGCAAAAATATTTCCCATTATCATGCTGCCATTTTACCCATGGGACATGATGGCAGGAGTAACCAAAAGGTTTTGGGTTTGTTTTTTTTTTGAATAATCAAGACTACTTATTTCTGTTGAGATCAGCTTTTGCCGAAGGATTCCCAAAGATTCCAACAGTTACGCTCCCAAGCCAGTTTCTCTCATAAGTTGAGACAGAGAGACAAATTTCCTACTCCACACAGACCTGGATTTCACCATCACTGTACAACGTCAGCAATAGTTTTTCAATTAAGCTGAGACGCCAACTCAACCCCCTACTGCAAATGTCACAGATTGGCTCCTCATATATTTCTTTTAAAGCTGCACAATCAACATTTTTTCCCCTTTCTTCTTTTTGCCATAACAGCACAGATGTAATGTCAAGGCCAGATAGTCATTGATCAAAAATAGGGGACGCCAACTCCATTTGCCAGCTAGAGAAGTTACTCAGCACTTTCACCCTTAGAAACGGGCCTAAAATAGAATGCTTTTTCCTTTGTTAAAACCACATCTAGTATTTGAAAACAGCCAAATCCTTCTTACAAACGTGAATCTTTTTTTTTTATGATTTATCTCTGTCACCATTAGGTGTTTAAATATTTTAAAATATTTCCAAGAAGGGGAGGGGGGGGGATCTGAATTAAAAGCAACATAGAGGAGAATATTTTTAGCTCATGGTTGAAATGAGGGATCCTTGGTGCTCTTCTGAACTCAGTTGCTTTCCTGCAGACGTTTCATTACCAAACTAGGTAACGTTATCAGTGCACTGATGATGCCACCTAATTTGGATAATGAAACATCTGCAAGAAAACAATTAAAACTCCAGAGAGCATCAGTGACCCTTAAACGCAACATTTCATGGATGTACAATTAGTCCAATTTCCTGCACAGTGATATAAAGTGTTCCGTTCTCTACAGACACTTCTCCTGCCATCTTACTTTTAAAATTAAGCATAGTATCGAAAAGTATTAAAAATAAATTTGCAGCAGTTACTGAACTGCTGATGCTTGAACGGTAAACTAGCTGCGGCTTAATTCAAACATCGGAAGCTGTGCGTAGTTTATGGAAACAGGATCTTTCAGTTTTGAGTAAAACTTCCATATATTTTGATGGAACAACGGTGACATCCAGTGGCTGGGGAAAAAATCCACTCTGCCCTCCTGTTTCCTGAAGTCTGTCTTCCAATTTAACCAGAATATACTGTTGTTACACAGGGATATTAACTCTCCATTTTACAAAACTGACCCCCAAATTGAATTGCATATACCTATATATATATATAAATTCAACCTTTAAACCAGAATTATAGTACACTTTTCTTGGAACAATATATCCAGGGTAAAAATAGTATTCCCTGTGCTGGCCAAGAGATTCATTTTTCCCTAGCTGCCATCTTAAAAAAAAATAAAAAAATAAAAAAATCTGTACCTCCAAGCATCGATCTTGCCATCTACGAGCCAACATTTCAAGGAGAGGTGGTCTAAATTGATCCAGTCCCAACAGTTCAGGGAGCATAACACAATGCATAGCAGCAAGCTGACTCCATCCTGTTAAGACACAGGCAAAAACACAACAATCACAATAGCAGAGGTAGTGGGAAACCGCTATATTTACTAGCAACCATAACAAAATTTGTCTATGCGGAACTTGCAATGGGTAGTCTGAATACAAGAAATACTTTTCAAAATAAATAAGGCTGAAGTTACACTAAGTGAAAAAGCTAAAAGCAATATATCACCATAAGTGAATACATAGTAATCTTTCTAATCATTTTAGGCAATCAGTTAATTGAAGCACATATTAACAATAATGCACTGTTATTCACATTTTTAGGGTATCTTTGCTTCCCTCCTAACCTGATACAAATAATTGCTACTTACCTCAACTGAATTTTAGATAAAAAAAACCTTTCGAAAAGGGCAACTTCCAATTTCACTCAAAAAAAGCAAATTATTCTAATATTCATCTTTCCAAAATTGTACATTTGCAATCTGTTTTTAACCGACTGTTTATCTTATTCTTGAGATAAAGCAGTGCGTGAAGACGATCAGCAGAATACTGCTTTAATTTTTCCATTCTCCTTACCCCATTCCTACTGGAGATCGGGATCAGTAGCCCTGTCAAAATCTAATCTCATATGCCACTGCTATAAAAAGATTGAACCTAGATCCAAAGATGCAGTTCGATCTGAGAAAAGCTTTTGCAGCTCAAAGAGACCATGAATACAAATGTAAAAAAAATGAAAACTATAACCATTACATTCTCTCTCTGTCTCTGTCTCTTTCTCTCTCTCTGTGCCTGTTTGTATATGTGTAGTGTGTGTGTGAGAAAGATCATTTGCTAAGGAATAAACAAATATTGTTAAAAAAGACCTTTTTGTTTAGTGGACACTTTGAAGAAGGGTTGACATAGAACTTCATTATAAAAGTATAATCCACCAGTAATTCCGGATTCATTTTAAGCAGCGGTGTCCAACCTTGGCAACTTTTAGACTTCAACTCTCAAAATGCCCCATCTAGCATAGCTGGCTAAGGAATTCTGGAAGTTGAAGTCCAGAGGTCTTAAAGCTGCCAAGGTTGGGCACCCCTGGCATAGGGTATTGGAACAGGGTATCTAAATCTATGAACTGGGTTTGCTGCTTAAAAATAAGAAGATATTGTTTGGCAACAACTATAAATGGGGAGACGGAGAGAACATTCATAACTACCCTTAAGAAAAAAAAATCTGCCTCTGTCTCCCAGCAATTTGCCTCCTTGCAGCCAACAGCAAACAACCTGGTCAGCTTCAGCACAGCCTGATTGAGCACAAGCAGCTGATTGATGATTGGACTGGCCTCCCGGAATACCACCTATCAGCTGTTCCAGGCTGCGGGGATTGCTGCTGCCACCTATCGCTGCCTCCACGTGCCCCATTTTCGGCTTCTGCGTGCCCAGTCTTTGGCCTCTGCGGGTTTTATTTTCAGCCCAGGCAGTGGGGATCACTGTCGCCGNTCTCGGGTGTATTTCTTATCTTGGAAGTCTGGATTACTGCCAAAGTCTTGTCAGTGTGTTAATTTACTGTGAATAAATTGTCTAGCAGTAATCTTTGTATCGGAGTGCCTTGGCGTACGGAGTGGGGGTGGGATATGCATGTGGATGCCTGGGAGGCTGGGAATCACGCAAGTATGCACAGGGGGGGGCGCCACGCACAGGTGGTGTCACACACACATTGCACTACAGGTGTGGCTACACTGTCGGCACAGACACACTTTTGGCACGCGACAACAACAAAGGTTAGCCATCATTGATCTAGCCTAACTACTAAAATGGTTGTTCTATGCTTCATGAAATAATGAATAATTTGGTATAGAGAGCTTTCCTCCATTTTTATTAATTATATCTTGCGGTTAATAATGTAGGGCTAGTCTTATATTGCTTTATGGGTTAAGGAGCTGATTTTGTTTTCCCAGAGCATAGTTAAGATCAGCTACGATTTTCAGACCTAAATTGTAAAACCAAATGAAAATTACAGCTTTTACTCTCCATCTTCTAACTGCATCAGAGGAGGGCGAAATATATACCTGACGCTCAAGGTGACTCCTTCCTATCATGGACAGGTTATCATGGTAGCTGATGCAGCCGCCCTTTGCATCAAACCGAATACCAAGGAATATTGAGGGTTATTTTGAGAACAGCTCAGAATGATGTTATATAAATCTAAATTATATAAGTCATTTAGACTTAACAAGATCATGATACATCTTTCAAAGAAAATCAATTCAAATTTAAACACATAAAGCAGTCTGGACAAAAAAGGAAATTAAACAGATTCCAACCCAGCCAAAAAAAAAAGGAGGGGGGGGGACAAGATAAATTAACTGGAACGGTCTCGTAGAAGTATTCCTTTATGAGTTGTAAGGTGTGAGGTAGATGAAAGGTTTCGTGTCCAAGGTTAATTCACAAAGTTGACTTAATTCAGAATAAATGACAGGACGTAGCCATGGAATTGCCATTGGGGTACTAGTCAATCTGATCTCAACTTGCAATCTTTCCCGGCTCTGAACTGACAGACAGCGAAGGAAAAGATGATCTTATCTATAAAAAAAAGAACCCTTCATGTCTAAAAGGACAATTGAGATAGGAAGCTCCAAGAGCATACCATATTCTTGCAAAGCAAGGCAAGAATGCAGAGGTTTATTAGAAAAGCAGTGTCATAAACACAAGCCAGTATCTGCATGCATTGTATTCTTGAATTAAGGCCAATAAATAAAATGTCTGTTAAAAGGTAAAAGTTTCCCTCACGAATATGTGCTAGTCGTTCCCAAATCTAGGGGGCAGGGCTCATCTCCATTTCAAAGCCGAAGAGCCAGCGCTATCTGAAGACGTCTCTGTGGTCATGTGGCTGGCACAACTAAACACCAAAGGCGCATGGAACGCTGTTACCTTCCCACCAAAGGTGGTTCCTATTTTTCTCATTGCATTTTTACATGCTTTTGAACTGCTAGGTTGGCAGAAGCTGGGACAAGCAACAAGAACTCACTCCATTACGCGGTGCAAGGGATTCGAACCACCGAACTGCGAACCTTTATGATCGACATGCTCAGCATCTTAGCCACTGAGCCACCGTGTCCCAATGATGTCTGTTAGATACATATTAAAAAAACACAGAACATTACACTTCTCTGACCAGTTTTAGTGCACTCACCGAAGGCATAGTATGGAAATGAAAATGGGCAATTTTGAAAGCTGCTAGAATATTCTTAAAAAGAGATTCTGAAATACGCTATGTGAAACCATGGTTTC